TTGGTCTTGATGATCTCGCGAGCCTTGTTGATGATCTCAGCAAAGCTTGTGTACTGTTCGCGCTCACCAAGTGCAAGGCTGAGGGCCGCACAGGATCTGTTGAAGAACTCACGCCGCAGATGCGTGAATGGTAGATCCAGATCGGGCGTCGCCACAATCTTCTGCCATTCCGTGAGCCAGTCCCGTGTCAGACTGCTGCCCTGTGCCRTTGTGAAGATGCGGTTGACGGCCTGTGCAGGCGCGTCGTCGACGATGAACCGCTTCTTCCATTCCTTTGTCATTTCTTCCTTGGTGATCTTCTTGTACAGCTCTGCCACATCGACGCTGTGCATTGTGGCCATGTGGCTCAACCAGATCTGGCATGCTCCTTTCACATTGAGGAACAGAGCGCTGATGTACATGTCCTTGGGAATCTGATGAATCCCCAACTCCGTCGAGAATCCTTGCCACCAGACTACYGGATTCTGATGCATGTAGTCATCGAATCTCTCAATCTGGAACTTTGGCATCTTGTACGGCTTCGGCGAGCTGCTGCTGTGCTCGGAKGGCTGCTGTTGCTGCCCGAGCTTGGCATCCAGCTCCTCGAACCGCTGGCTAATGGTGGCTGGTGTTGTGAAGGTGGTAAGGTCACCCAGCATTGCCACCACGTGGTCCATGCGTTGTTCCAGCTGGTGGTTTGATGGTGCACTGCTGGTCGCGACTGCGTCTGGATCTGGTGCAGATTGCTCCAGGTCCGTGACACGGCCGTTGAGTGCCCGTGTAGCACTGTCGTGATCATGCACCATGCGCAGAGAGTCACCAACTCTTGTTGCTGTGTCTGCAGAGCCTGGTGCAGGTTCTGTAGTTCCAGGTTCTGCTTCTCCAACTCGGACCGTTGGTAGTTGCACGCATACAACAACCGRGTCACGAGCTTGGAGAGGAACTCCTTGTGTTGTTCCTCCTGATCTGCCTCGTCGCCGTTTGGTTCAAAGTGCCARAAWTTGAGTCACTCGATGCTGCTGGCTTCATGCCGCTGCAACAGATCCTGGGCTTCCTTGCGGCGAGCCTGGGCATCTGCATCTGCTTCGGTCTGTAGTCGCAGCTTCTCTGCTGCTGCCTCAGCTTCGGCCTGTAGGCGGGCCGTCTCGGCTGCCAGCTGCCGCTGTTCTTCAGCCTCGATCAATGCGAGCTGGGCGTAGAACTGCAGCTTGTAGTCGGAGATGGATTCATTGGCCAGTTGGCCCGCCATGCCCGGGGCTGGGCCCGTCATGGTGTCGGGACCCTGCCGAGGTGGCACTTATCTGCTGTGGCACTGTAGCTGTCGTGTCCTGCTGACGTGGCACTGCAAATGTGGCACTGTGATGTGGCACTGCTGACGTGGCACTGCTGATCTGGCACTGTGACGTGGCACTGTACCGAAACGGGATGCATGCAAGGGGTGGGTGGGAGGGAAAACGGAGGGAGGTAACCACCCAACAATACTTTCCTCCGGCCCTAATCAACAGATAAAATAAAAAAAATAAAAAAATAAAAGAGGACTACTTCCCTTTTTTTGTATATATTTGTCGATCTATGATGAGTAGGATATTTCAGAAGAGTATTATGAACGAGATCTAGGCTGGGTGCCGCAAAGTTTCAGCTTTCACTAAAATGCCATCTTTTGAAAAAAAAATATATTGCGAAATAGAGTAAAGATACGATTTTCAGAAACAACGAAATGCAGTTTCTGAGAATATGGCAACCTCTGACTATGCCTACCGAACGTTGGTAGGCTCCTCAAGATTTCGATTTTCAAAAAAAATTTGCGAGATAGAATGGAATTTCGATTTTCAGAAAAGAAGAATTTCGGTTTCCGAGAATATGACCACTTCTATCGTTATCCCAATATGCCTAGAAAACGAAATACTAACTTCAGAAATTTCGGCTATGTCTGCGAAATATCAGAGAAACGAAATGCTACTATCGGGAATTTTCAGACAAAACGAAATGCGATTTATCAGAAATTTTCAG